GTGGGGGGGGTGGCCACGTGATCATCAACATGGATGGTGGCTGCCCTCTGACAGAGCCACCACCGGCAGAGCTCAGCCCGGACACACAGCTCCACACCCCGGGACACTCCAAGTCCCTGGACCTCGGCCAGCCAGGGGTGCTGCTGGTGGCCCCCATCAAGGACCGTAAGAACCGGAGCTGGCCCCGGCTGGACCACGTCAGCCTGGTGGGTTACGCCAAACTGGAAAGCACAGGCGAGTCCTCGGACCAGCTGCTGGAGCCCAGCGAGTTCCAGAGCCGGGGTGAGCCCCGACCCAGCTCCTGGGTGGTGGGGATGGAGCAGGGCGCGCGGGTCTGATGTCCCCACAGCCCTCAGGGACCGTGCGTTGCAGTCCCTAATCCTGGCCCACACCACCCACCAGCAACTCCAAAACCCCACATCCAGGAGGGGCTCGGGGGTGGAGTTTTTAAGCTGATGCCAAGAGGCAGGTCCTGACCTGCTGCTCCTGGGGGAGGACTCGCCTGGGGTGGGCTGTCCTCTCCCAGCTGCCTCTCAACGGCTTCCCAGTGGATGTCCTTGGCCTTACAAGCCCTTCTCCTGGTGGCTTTTGCAGAGGAGCCCTCGCTTTGAGACCCAACACAAATCGCGGGGTGGGGATGCAGGGCGGGCAAAGCCCCGCCAGCCCCTGCAGCACTTTATTTCAGCAGGGTGGGGGGGATGTTTTGGGGGTTGGTGTCCCCTTGCCCAGCCTCAACCCACCGGAAAATTTGCCTGACCAGAGCACGTAAGCCTGACGGGGCTATTAAAGATGACCTGGATGCCATGCGGTCCTGCCTTGCCTCATCGTCTTGCCCGCGGGATGCTCGGGGTGGGCAGCGTGCCCACGGCAGCCGGTCCCGGAGGGTCTCCCAGGCTGTGCTGCCCCCACTCAGGCTCAGCTGGAGAGAGGAAGGATGCTCTCTAACAGTTGCAGGATAAGGTGATAAGCTCAAGGGCTGGGGCGTGGGGCTGTTTTTTTTTTGCAGAGTAGGGGTGCGAAGGTGCCGGGGAGCTGCGGGCAGCGAGGGGCGTGCGGCTGCTGCTGCATAATTAAAATTGCTGCTGGGGTGCGGTGGTTCCCAAAGCCCGTCTGTGGGCTGGGGGTTATTTTTGCTGTTTTCTGGTGGGGTGAAGGGTGTGGGTAGTGGGAAGGATGCGATGGGGCAGAGAGGCAGGCGTTGGTGTTAGTGCTGGTTTTGCCGGGCCCCGTTGGGTGCCATCGTGTTGTTTGGTGCCTCCTGGGTGCCCTCCTGGGTGCAGAACTGGAGCTGCGTGGGACGAGGCCGTAGAGCCAGCCTTGGCGCTGGGGTGGTGCGATCCCCGGAGTGGAGGTAGCAGAGAACCAAAACCCTGCAAAACCCCATCCCAGCAGGAAAATGCAGTAGGAAAATGTGGATAAAATGAGAAATGAAGCAGAGAAACAGGGTTCACTCCCTTGGGTGAGGCTGTGCTGCGGGATGCCTTTTGCATCCCGCATCAGGAGATGGCTCTGGGCTCAGCAGCCCGGAGAAGAGAAGCATCGGCTGCCTGTTTTCTTGCAAAAGAGCAATTTTTGCTCCAGCATTTCTTTCTCAATCCTTTCCCAGGGTCTTTGCCATATTTGCCCCTGGGGAAGGCATGGGCTGGCTGCTGCTTTGGTGCTCAGCCCCGATTCCTGTTGATTTCCCTGCACATGGTTGCCGTGTCCCTCCGATGTCCCCGTGGGTGAAGCCCACCCAGGGGGCGAGGAGCTGTCAGGTCCCACTGGCCGTGGCACAGCCAGGAGGTAGCAGTGGTGGGGCATGGCTAAAATAAATAGGAACTGGAGGAATAGCCTTCACCTTTGTGTATTTTAAGGCAGAGGCTGGAGGGCCCCAGCTGTGCCACCAGCTCATGCAAACAGCAGGGCAGAGCCACTGGGCTGTCATCCCTCAGCCCTGGGAGGCATGATGCTGGGTTTGAGCCAGGCCTTCTCTAAAAAAAAAACCCAAACACCTTTTTTTTTTTTTAACACCGAGTCCAATTCTGACTCTGGCAGAGGCCCTGGAGCTGGGGGGTGGTTGGGCACCCATCGCTGGTGGGTGCTGAGCCTTGGGAACTTCCCCACAGCCCCTCCATGGCAGGGTACCACTTGGGCACATGGCTGCATCTTTCCACAGCATCTTTCTGCGCTTTCCCTGTTTCTTGCTCCCCCCCCATCTCCAGGAAGATGTCACCTACCAAAAAGCAGAGAAGGTTATTTTTTTTTGCAGCAGCTTTGCCTTGTCGAAGCATTCGGCACCGGCATCTTGCCAGGCACCCAGGGACCACCCCTGATCCTGCCCTCCCCATCGATCCCGAAGTCAGTGGTGCCCCTTGTGCTCTGATTGCTGCCCGGATCATGCTCTCCAACCAGGAACACCCTGTCCACCCACAGCAGCCGTGTCTGCCGGTGCTGGGGACTCGTCCCAGCCCGTCCCGCTCCCCCCGTTCCCATCTTGGATGCCGAGGGTGTTGGCGGATGGATGAGAGCAAAGGGGCGAGGATGGCTCTGCTCGCTTCGAAATGTGGCGTTGCTGCTTAGATGGGATCTCTGCCTTTTGCCTTCACAAGGCCAGAGCCCACCATGGTACACAGCAATGGCTGAAGTATGTTTTCCCTGCATGAAATGGGGCTGGGTTTGACCCCTGTCCCTGCTTCTCCCTCTCTCTGGTCTGAAGCGAGCACAGAGCCTCGGACCTTGCAGACCTCGGGGACAACATCCTTCTCCAGACAAAGACATCCTTGCAGAATGGCTTGAAAACTGCCTTTTCGGGCAAAAATATATTCCCAGCGCAAGCATTCCCAGCAGCTCAGAGACCAACATCCCCCTGGCCTGGGGCTGGGCAGAGGGGAACCATCCCTGGCCGGGGGCTCTTGTCACCCCTTTTTGTCACCCCAAGGGGCTGGGGACGGGGGACAGGGCTGCGGGAGTCGGGGAGGGTTGTGCCGGTGATGCTGTTCTCTCTCGCCCGGCTTTCATCGCCTTCCACATCGCCCTGCATGATCAATGGCGCTTGGCACCGACGCTGGGAAACGGCAGATTAAAGCCTGCAAGGGACAAACCCGCTCTGCGCTCATTTTCGAAAAGTCAGGGTTTTCCACAACTTTTTTTTTTCCCCTCCCTTTGAAAACTCGGCATGTTTTGTTTCAATTTGTATTATTATTTTTTTCATTTTAATTTCTATTCTGCCTTTCAAACAGGAGCAATATCTGCTGCATGTCCTGTTGCCCAGAGCAGATCTGGGCCCATCTCCCCCTTCCCCCATGCCCCTCCACCCGCTCCCCGCCTG